AGCTGCAGGGCTCATGCCAGGACAGAGAGAGCAGAGAAAGCAGCAAAAGCTGTAACTGCCTGCCCAGGAGTTATGGGACACCAGGAGCAGCAGCAGCACAGCCGTGGCTTATGCCTCTGCTGCAGCTCCAGGCTGAGGTCCTGGGAATGGCCAGTTGCATCCCACAGCACCGTGCTGCCCCATGGACCAGCCAATGCCAGCCATCCAGGCAGTGAGGGGTGAGAAGAAAGGCAAATAAACATCCCTTGTTGCCCCAAAGCACCTGTAGCACCAGGAGGCAGCCCTCAGGCAGCACATGCACCTCCTCCTTCCCAGGCAAAACTAGGCCTGCCCTGCACAGCCTCCACCCATGGAAAGGAGAGCCTGGGGAGTTACCACAAGGCGTGCCATCCCCTCCACTGGTGTCCCTGCCAGTAGCCAGCCTGCCCCACGGGTGGCTGAGGAAGAGGAGGGTCTCCATGTGAGCCAGCATTCGCATGGAAAATGAGCAAGCACCCAACTTCTAGCAAGGGACTTGAGTCTGCAATGAAGCAAGTGGGTCCCAGGGTACCTCCAAGCTGGTTTGAGTACCCCACACACACACAGTCAGTGAGCACCTGGGCCAGGTGAACAGGCACCACTCCCCATTTCTCACTCTGCTGAGAATCGGTTTTGCTTCCGTAAGAGACGGGTCGGTGGGACTGGGGAGGGGAGGTTGAGGAACTGCAAAGACTTAGTGCACCTTAAAACAAAAGGACATCTAACCTGCCCTTAGATCTCACTCCAAGACGGAAAAGAGCTATGGCATCTCCTACACTCACAACTACTCCAAACACACCCGGATGCATGCAAAACATGTCCCACTTCCCCTCGGCTGCAGAAAACCCCTCCCAGCTGGGGGCACCAGCCAGTGCTGGGCTCTGGCTCAGCACCCTGGCACTGTCTGTTCCCACCCCACTCCCGGGCCCTCCCGCCCAGCATCAGCAGGCAGGGCAAGGGGTTAATTACCAATCTGAAATGCATAGGTATGGACACCATGGGGACCAGTGCCCCTGCAGGAAGGGGCACTGCAGGAGCCCTTCGCATCCAGCAGGCAAGGTCTTCACTTCTATCTCCAGCTGGGTGGAAAGTAGCATTCACCACGGGCACGGTTCAATCACACCCATGGCTTCTTGCACTGCCCTACAAGGAAAGACGAGTCGTTTAGGTCAGACAGCCTCTGTGCCAGCCACAAGCCCCTGCAAGCACTCGATTCCACTTCCTGGGAAATCCTCCAGCTGGGCACGCCCTCTTCTGCGCCCTCGTGCCAGCCAGGCTCTATTTCTGACTCAGGAGGAGCCACGTTTCCAACTACAACGACAAAGGCAGGAGAACCCAAGAGGTCTGCTTTGGCTCAGAAACCCTGTTCGTTTGCAGCAGGCTGAGAGCACCCAGGTCCTCACGTGCGTGCCTGGCACTGCTCTACTTGGGAGGTATCACGACTATAGGCTGCCCTCGCTTGGGTCTCCACATGAGGACTTGGGCGTCGTTGGCGTTGGGCTTCACTAGTGCGTTTGGTGGGATGGGCTCCATTCTGCTGAGGATCCGGGGCTGCTCCTGCTGAGTCCTTCCCACCAGCCGTGCCCGCTGCCCCAGCAGCTGCATGGGATCAACCTCAATGTCCACTCGCATCCTCCACTTTATAGTCTGCAAGATGATCTTTTCCTTGGTGGTGGTGTTCATGGCCACCAGCCACGTGGTAAAGCTCTGGTCCCTCTTAATCCTGGTCAGCAGCGGCACGTTACTGTTGCTCACGGGGACAGCCCACGTCACACTGGGGTAGAAATTGTCATTCATGCTCACCGAGAACCTGGAGATCTTGTTCGTGGGCCCGACCAGGGTCACGGTTTCTGTGGTGTTTCCATACCAGGGATAGCTCACACCATCCGAATCGCTGATGGCTTTTACTCTTCCTTCTCGCAGGTCGGGCAGCTCCCAGCTTGACCTAAGTGAATGGGAAGAGAAAGGCCAGGTTAGCAGAGAAATGGCACCAATGGCACTTGGTGAGGGATGGGAAGGCCAGCAGCATGGGGACCCTCTTCCCTGCCTGCAGCAAGCTCTCAGGACCAATCTGAAGAACAAATTCAACGCTGGTTCCTTTGCTGAGACTCACATGTCCAGCTGAAGCCTTTGCTCTACCAACACAATGTTATTTTAATTAATCTGCAATAAAACTGACTGGGCCAAAACCCATTGCCGAGTCTCTCTGGGGTCACTCTCTCCTTAGTCAGCTCCTGTGCTGGTGAACAGCCTTCCTCATTCGCCAGCTGCAGCACCATGACCACTGCACTGGCCCAGCCCATCAGCTGCCAACCCAGCCCCACGATAAGTCTGTAATTTTTATGCCTGTAAATACAGGCACCTGCACAGAGACACAGACAACAATTAAATTCCACAATTATGCCTGCCACTGGTGCCATGAAATCCCTGCAATATGGCTGGGGGGGGAATTCCAGACCAAATCTTTGCTGACAATCTCATTACTAACACCTGTGGCTACAGCAAGGGAGACAATCCCCACGTGGTAATTACAGGCCTGGAGTTCTGGTAAAACCTCCTACCAAGTCCAAGCTCTGGCTTCAAACACATCTAGTTTTTAAAGCTGCCTGGCACTGGGACCACATCTCTGCCATCCCCCCAGATGGCCTCCACTCACTGGATGTCCCCAAGCACTCCAGTGCCACAGGCAGGTGGATCTGCCATGATGCAAGGATGCAGGCAGGCAGCACGAGGACCTGCTGCACACACTGCCCTGTGCTGGCAACCCCCGGCACCAGCAGTGGGAACACTCCATTGAGCCAAATGTACCCCTCCAGTCACCTCCAGTCCCTCTTTTATCACCCCTCTCCAAAGGCAGAGGACACAGTGAGAGAGCCAACAGCTTTGCCCCTTAGTGTCCCCTCAGGTCACCACACACTCAGCCTTGAGAAAAGCTGTTTTCCAGCAGCCACTTCAGCCAAGCACTGCAACACTTCCCGCTTCTAACACAAGCCAAGGGGGCAACTCCCCCAGCACTGCCCACGCTCACAACCCGGCCCCAGAGGGGAAGCGGTATTCGAGGGGAGACAGCGGCCACAAAGCCCCGAGCGGGCAAGCCCCAGGCTACCGGGATGGTGCAGGAGACGCCGTGGCACACGAGGAGCAGGAACTGCGGAGTCAGGGACTGTGCTCGGAGCGGGCGCCGGCGAGAAGGTGGCGCCCGTGTGTGGCTGTGGATGCAGAGGCGGGTTAGGGGGGCAGCTCCCAGTGCCTGGGGGGCAGCGCACGGTGCCACGGGGGCAACACACGGACTCTGGGGTGGCAGCAGCCGGTGCCTGGGGGGCAGCACATGGTGTCAGTGGGGCAGCACGTGGTCCCAGGGGGGCAACACACGGTGCCGAGGGGGCAGCACACGGTGCCCGCAGGTGTGCCGAGGTGCCCTGTGTGCCGGGGTGCCCACGCCATGCCCAGCCCGGTGCCCCCACTCCGCTGCTCCGTCCCCCCCGCGGCCCCCGTGCTCACACGCCGAGGTCGCTGTAGGTGTTGTAGAACTCCATGTGGTTGCAGGCCTGGATCCAGCCCACCACCCAGGTGTGGCGCCGGGCGATGGGCGGCATGAGCACGCGTGCGGAGGCGCGGAAGTAGGGCGTGCGGTACCGCAGCACCACCGGCGAGCTCTCCTCGATGGCCGTGGCCGCCGGCTCGATGGTGGCCGACACGTCCGACACCACGATTTGCTCCCGGCGCACCCGCGCCTTGCAGGCCACACTCTGCAGGCACCCCATGGCCGCCGCGGGGCCGCCGTCACCGCGGGGCCAGGGGGGCGGCCGGGGCCGGTGCCCGCCCGCCGCGCATCGCCGCCCGCAGCGCGGCGCCCGCACCGGCGCCGGCAGGGCGAAGGCGCCGCCGCCGCGCCTCTTACGGCCCCCGCCGGCCGCCGTACGCCGGGAGCCCCACGTGCGTCACGGGCGGAACAGGAAGCGGAAGCGGCGGCGGGGCCGCCCGGTGCCGGGGCGGAGGAGGGAGGGCGGCACCGCCGCGTCCTTGGGGCGCTCCGGGAGCGGCGGCGGGGGACAGGGAAGCGGCCCCGGGCAGGGGGGACATGCGGGCCCGGCAGCCGGTGGCCGGCGCCCGCCTCCCGCAGGCCACCTCCCGCCGCGATGCCGAGCCCCCGGAGCAGCCGCGAGCGCCGCGCGGGCGGCAGCGGCGGCCGGCTGGAGTTCCTGTCGCTGAGCCAGCGCGGCCCCGCCGCCCCCGACAGCCCGTCCCGCCGCAGGGAGCCCCCGGCGGCCGCGCCGCTGCCGGAGGAGGACTGCATGAAGCTGAACCCGTCCTTCGTGGGCATCGCGCTCAGCTCCCTGCTCGCTATCGACCTCTGGGCCTCCAAGCGCCTGGGCGTGTGCGCCGGGGAGGGCTCGGCCTGGGGCAGCGCCCGCCCGCTCATGAAGGTCATCGAGGTGTCGGGGCACGGCATCCCCTGGCTGCTCGGCACCTTCTACGGGCTCTGCCAGAGTGACAGCTCGGCGGCCAGGGAGGTGCTGCTCAACCTGCTCTTCGGTGAGGCGCGGGGCTCGCCCGGGGGCTGATGGAGCCGAGCGGAGGGGGTGGGACACAACGAATGGCGCAGAGCTGGTGAACCACAGCCCCGAGGGCACCTGATTTTGAGCGGCTCGTGCAGACCCATGTGGGGTGCCTGGCACCAGAGGCAGCAGCCCTGGAAATGTGGTGACACGGGTAGGGCTCACCTGTCAGAGTTCCCACCACGCACTGCGAAACTCCCGACACCTGCACTGCTCCTGCAGTTGCACAAAGCTCTCAGGGTGATGAATGAAATATTTTAGCTCTTCAAGTTTATCAGAACATTGCATTCTAGGTGCAGCTTTCTAGTGTTGAGACACCAGCCCATTCCCTGAAAAGCTACTCTGGCACGCAGACATCTGCACCCCTGGCTCCCTGCCTAGGCAGTGCCTTCGTGGATTGATGTGTATCAGCCAGTGAGGAAATTTGGTTTAATGCACGCATTTTAATCTTGCATTGTGTAATATTTCACACTCACACACACAGAGTATCCTAGGTATAGAGTCTTCATTTCTGCTCATTTAGAAACTGTAGTAGCTCCAGAGTACCAGACCTTTTCAGGTTCTTACTCTTGTATTAAGTTGCAGGTAATTAGTATCTCACACTTAGAATCTAATTGAAATTTGCTTGGTGGGAAGTACATAGGTTTGTGCATCTTTCTCATCTAGCAGCACATGGTTAAATTACAGTCCCACAGCAGAGCTGTGAGAAAGGACCAGGAGGCCTCCAGCCTAACTTCTCCAAGGAGATCTGTCCCCGTACCAGAGCCTTGTCCAGCCCTCAATATCTGGGCCAGAGCCACCCACCTCTCTGGGGCCCTGTAGCCAGGACTGCAGCACCTGTGTGGGGAAGGAGGGTTCCCTTGTGTCCAAGCTGAATCTCTCAAATCCTATGTAAAAAGAGAAAAAGTCATTGATCTAGGTTTACATGTAGAAAAAAAAAATATTTATTCTGAAATGATTAACCAAAGGAAATGAAGTGACCAAAAGGTTTGGTGTCCAGAAACAAGCCTTAGGACAAGCAGAAGCTGGTCTCTTACATGACTTCCCTGGAAGAATAGCCCTGGCTGTGAGGGCTAAGCAGAACTCACAGGGGTAGAGAAAGTACCCTCTGACCTGCACGAGAAGCTGCTCTTGCCAAATACTGGCTGAACACTTCTCACAGGTACTTTGCATCTTCTACCAGAACAGCCTTTACCTCTCAGGGTCAAGCCACTGTTACATAAATCATCCTTTAGTCATCTCTTGAAAACCACAGCACAGTTAGCTTTCCCTCCAGCAGCAGGGAGAAGCCAGGCTCCAGGACCCTTGGCACCACACCAGCTCAGAGCCTCTCACACCGAGCTGTGGCTGAGTGCTTGGAGCGGGTTGATCATTCACCCGGTAGGTTTGAACTCCAGTCACCAGGGCAGGCAGAACAATGCTGAGTCAGCATTGCCAGGAAGGGAGTTGTCCCTCTGCTGCCTTCAGGTTATGGGGCAGGTTGAGCCCAGAGTCACAGTGAGATCAGATTTTACACAAAAGCCCTGGCAGAGCCCTGTTGGGCTGTGGCAGGTAGATGGTCTGGTGGTGCACGAGGGGGCAGAGGTTGAGGACGTGGTCATGCTGCAGAAGGCCAAGTGCAGACGAGTGCTGTGCTCTCCCTGCCTGGGTGTTGCAGCCATGGGAAACAATGCCTTCTCTTAGCAGGTCTGGGCAGCCAAGCGCTTTCATAGGTAACAGCAGTGCTTTCAGTAACCCACTGCTCCTGTCTCTCCTAGCATTGCTGCTGGACCTGGTGATGGTGGCCGTGGTGAAGGGGCTGGTGAAGCGGCCACGGCCCACCCACAACAAGATGGACATGTTCGTCACCATCTCGGTGGACAAGTACTCCTTCCCCTCGGGCCACGCCACCCGCGCCGCCCTGGTCTGCCGCTTCGTCCTGCGGCACCTGGTGCTCGCTGTCCCGCTGCGCGTCCTCGTGGTGCTCTGGGCCCTCATCGTCAGCATCTCCAGGGTGATGCTGGGCAGGCACAACATGACGGACGTGCTGTTCGGGCTGGTGCTGGGCTACGCCCTGTACAGCGTGGTGGAGCACTGCTGGCTGTCCCCACTCAACGCGCCCGCCCTCTTCGCGCTCTGGGACCACTGACAGGCGGGCTCCTCACAAAGGAGGGGCCTGCGCTGGTTTCCTAAGCACACACAAGGGAGGGGATACTGGGACTTGAACTCGCATCCTAAACCCCGTCAGTCTGGCCAAGACTTGTACATGAGCGGTGCTGCAGGCTCCTGGTCTGCACTTGGATGTTTGGTGCTGTCTTGCCCTCCTGGTCAGGTGTCAGGCAGGGTCTGCACTGGCCAAACAGCTGCACTGACTGTTCTGTGACCAAAAAAAAACAGTCTCTGCAGAGCCTGGGGAGGGCTCAGCACATTTCACCCGGCAGCTTGCTGATGATACTGTGAATCTGCATGCTCTTGCTGGTCACTTGCAATAGCCCATGGTGTATGTGGTAGCTGTGACTTTGCAGAGGTTTGTCTACAATCACCTATGTATCTGTATTCTATAAATACACTGATCATGCTGCTGTCATAAGCATATCCTGTGCAGCCTGCTCTGTAACACCTGTCTGGAAGGGCTCGTGGGGGTCTCTCCTCAGGGTTATAAATAGCTCTGCCTTTCTAAACAATCTCTTCCCTTCTGCTCTCAGTTTAAGTACTGCACTGAGGTCAGATATTGAGCAATGAGGACACAGGCACCTGGCCCCCAGTGCCATGGGGAAAGGACAGTGGGACTGAAGGGTTGGTCCATCCAGGGGGAAGCAGCTCCCAACAGCAGCCTACTCCTGAAGCCCTTGTGCAGAGCTTCCCTGCTCCTCTTCCCCTCCATAGGATTTTCAGTTTCCCAGGGGGTACAGTGCATTCCTAGCAATTCCTGGTGGTCACCATGTTCCCAGGCTGCAGACAGCATTCTGGAGAAACAGCCCCTTCCTCACAGACCAGCAATATGCCCTCTCCCAGGCTGCAGGGCAGCCCCAGGTCTGAGCCTTACCTGCACCTCCTGCAGGTAAGCAAGAGGCTCTGACAACCACCACCTGCCCTGGCACTGTTGGTCTGTTTTTCACAGAGGGCTGCTTGTCCTTGGCAGGAGGGGACCACAAGGAGCCTCTGTAATGAGCTGGGGTTGAGATTGAGCCAGAAAAGCAGAAGAACCAGAGCCAGGCAGGGAGTGAAGGCTCTAGACTAAGCTTAAATAATGAGCTTAAACAGCACTCCTGGCATGTGGGTGGGATGACTGGGTCCAGCTGAGGCTCCTTGTGGTCATTGAGGTCTCTTGATGCACTCAGGCTCTGGAAAGCACCAATTAAGTCATATTAAGACCAGGCAATGTTTAAGTGTGCTGTTCCCCTGGGTGAAGTGTGCAGGAGCAGCCTGAGGGCCATAGGCACAAGCACCCTGTTACTGTCTGTCACCCACTGTCAGTTATACAGGGGCCAAAATGAAAGTGCTTGACAGAGTTCCCCCAGAGCTGAGCCCTGACCCGCTGCCAGGGTGAGCCAGTGAAACTACCAGATGTGGGTTTGTGCTCCAGTGACCAAAAAAATAATCCCCTGGGTTGCACTGCATGCCTGGCAGCCGGCTGGGCCAGTTCAGCATGTGCACGGCAGCACCTGGACACCCCGGCCAGCCCTCCTGCCCCAAGGCAGAGACGAGCCCTGTGGTGGCTGCAGGGGCACAGACAGGTGGCACACTGCAGTGTGGGTAGAGTTTGAGGTGATCAGAGCTTGTTGAGATGTGCCAGAACACCTCTGCTCTTTCCCAAACACAGGGTGCATTTCATCCAAGCGATTCTTACAGTCGTTGGGGTCTTCCTCTCCAGGTCATGGAGGAGTACAACAGCAAATCCACACACCCGTGGCTTGTTCCCAAAGCCCATGTGTGTGCCAAAAGTTGCCCTTGACTCACTTGTAGGACCCTCCATGAGCTGCCTGGTGGCACCCACCAGTGCACAGCCCTTTTGGGTCACAGGCCGCCCAGCCATCCTCTCACCTCTTCTCTGCATCTTCCCATCTCCACCAAAGAGACTTTGGTCTCCTCCTGTGCTTGTCACCTGTCATTGCTCCTCCAAAGATGAGTACTAACCCACTGATAAGAAGGAGGAGACTGGTGCTTTCTGCTCTGCTCGTCCCATGGCACCCCTGCCTTCTGTGGAAGCCCAGAGCAGACTCTGCCCCCCACACTATATCCTGGGTGCTTGCCAGGCATGGGGAACTGTAACTTTCCCGTGGACATCAAACAGCTTGACCAAAATGCCATGGCATGAGCCCAAGCACAGCACGGCAAAGTCCAGAGCAGTGCAACCTCCTGTAGGGAGAAGAGTAAGTTTAGAGGCAACCTGCACAAAGGTTTGATAGGACAGCAGTGAGGTTGAGAGTTCAGAGGTCTCCTGTACTTATCACCCTTGGGCAATCTGTGCAGAGCTTGCAGAAGAGCCAGAAGCCAGCTGAGAGCAGAGCAGGGAGAGTAATACTGCCAGTGCTGCCACACTGCTGTACCCGTGCTGATCCCCCTGCCTGGTAAGATGCTTTTGATGCTTTTTGACAGGCAGGCAGAGTGCGGGTTGGCAGCTCAGCACCTCTGCCCCGGGCAAAGATCAGCCCTTGCCAACAGCAAGGTACAGAAGGAGTTTTATTAACTTACTGCAGACATACTGTGAGGCTTAGAAAATTAAAGCCATTTCAGTTGCAGATCTTGACCCCTCTGCAGCCCTGTGCCTTGCTCAGCTCTGGGGCAAAGTTCCCTGAACATGGGAGAGCAAATTTCCCCTGCAGTCCCCAAGAGCTGTCTGGCTGAGTGTGCCAGGAGCCAACAGCAAGCTCTGGATCCACATGGTCAGTGCTTCCTGCTGTCGGGGAGAGCCTTTCCCTAACTGGTCCCACCACCCTGGCACCAGTGACACCCTGACAGTGTGATGCTCCTCGCACCAGGGTCCCGCTGGCCCCAGGACTCGGGCAGCCCACGAGTGAGCCGCGGCTATAGGGACACTGTGCCGACACGCCCAGCCCAGGGGCACAGGGGGAGTGGGCGATGCTCTGCCGGGTGTCTCTGGAGCAGATAGAACCGCGCGTGCCTCCGGCTACCAGGATAAACAGGGTTGGGCTGATCCATATAATCCCAGAGGTAAAAGTTCAGGGCAGCGTTTGTTCACTAAGCACGTACGCCACGGGGATCGGCTGCTTGTCTGCTTTCCCGCACGGTGCCCGGGACGGCTCCTTACCCCGCTGTCGAGGCTGTAGCGACAGCCGCTGCCGGAAAAGCAGAGCAGACGGCCGGGAGGCAGCCGGCTCCTGGCTTCCTTCCCCTGGCGCCGTGGGAGGAGTGACGGAGGGGGAGGCTCCGCTTACGGCCGCTGCGCACCACAAAGCCAGGCCGCGGTCCGGCCTCACGGCTCGGGATAACCCGGCAGAGACCCCCGAGGGGCTCCCCACCTGCCGCCCGCCTTCCCTGGGCTGCTGCTCCCCCAGCCGCAGGTCGGTGGAGGGTGTCCCGGTTGAGGGTGTCCCCGTTGAGGGTGTTCCCCGGGCTGTCGGCACGCAGTGGGCACCGGGACAGCAGGACGGGCATCACCTCCGGGAAGGAAGAGGGCGAAGGGCAAGGCGGAGGGACTGTCACCCACTTGGGAAGGAGCCGTCGGTCTCCATGACGGGGCACGGTATTCTGGTGTACCTCCATCGCTGGGACTTAGCATGGGCAGGGACATTTTCAGGCTGCCTGGCACTCGGTAGCATTTCTCCCCAGGGCATCCAGAGGCAACACCAAAATAGTACAAAACCCAGCAGTGGCCAGTCTCCACTTGGGGGGGAATAGCAGTTGCTTCAAAACCCCAGGCAAATTTCTGGGGGGCTTCCTCTCAACTTGGGGCCTCTTTGGTGCACAGGGCCAAAAGTCTGCACAGTTGCAACCCCCAGCCCCACTCTCCGGCGCTGTCCCCAGGCAGAGATCCCGTGGTGAAGCCCAACATGGCAAAGAGGGTGGCCATCATCGGCGGGGGCAGCAGCGGGCTGTGCGCCATCAAAGCCTGCCTGCAGGAGGGGCTGGAGCCCGTCTGCTTCGAGAGGAGCCGGGACATCGGAGGCCTCTGGAGGTTTGAGGTAAACCCTGCCGGCCACGTGTCGTGCTGGGGGTCAGCACAGTGGCCCCCAGGGATCCGTGGTGTCTGGTGGGGTGGCATGCAGCCAGCCACGGTGGGGTCCTCTGGATGAGACTGAGGGCAGGGTCTCCATGTAAAGGAGCAGCACAATCAACCCTGGCCACCCCTCCCCATCAATCCCCTGGCCAGTGCTGAGCCATGACCCACTCCTACAGGAGAACCCCGAGGACGGCCGTGCCAGCATCTACCGCTCCGTCATCATCAACACCTCCAAGGAGATGATGTGCTTCAGCGACTTCCCCATCCCCGAGGACTTCCCCAACTACATGCACAACTCCAAGATCATGGAGTACTTCCGCATGTACGCCCAGCACTTCGACCTGCTCCGCCACATCCGCTTCAGGGTGAGAGCTGGGGGGCCAAGGGGGTGGTGGCAGCGGGGCCAGGGGGCGCAGGGTGCCTGACGCCCAGTCCCCCTGCACCCAGACCAGCGTGTGCCGCGTGTCCAAGCGCCCTGACTTTGCCACCACGGGCCAGTGGGAGGTGGTGACGGAGAGCGAGGGGAAGCAGGAGGCAGCTGTCTTCGACGCCGTGCTGGTGTGCAGCGGGCACCACACCGATGCACATCTCCCGCTGAACACCTTCCCAGGTACTGCCCTGCACTGAATGAGGAGACACCACATAAAGCTCAGCCATGCCAGTCCCTACTCTCCTTGCTGCTTTTCCTCTCAGCTCTAGCATTTCCCTGCTTTGCTTTGACTCCAGGAGTGTCCCCATGCTCCCCAGGAGTGCTTTGGTGGGGTGAGGGAGCATCTCCACTTCGGTCTTTGTGGGGGTGATCCTCCAGCCTGGCACAAGGAAGCCAGGCATATCTTCTCCCTGCTCACAGGAATCGAGAAGTTCAACGGCCACTACCTCCACAGCCGAGACTACAAGGACCCTCAGGATTTCAGGGACAAGAGGGTCGTTGTTATCGGGATTGGGAATTCAGGGTCAGACCTGGCTGTGGAGATCAGCCAAATGGCCAAGCAGGTGAGAAGCGGGAGTAGGGTCCTGGTGGGCAGGGCAGCCCCCCTTGGGACACTGTTGGCTCCACAAGGACACCAGGACCAAGGCACTTGCACAGCCACTCCTCCATCCCAGCACTCACTGTATTTGGCCATGCTGGCACCTGCCAGTCGCAGCCACCAGGCAGTGGTGGCAGTTGAAAGTCAGTCCCACACAGATCCCAATTTTTTTCCCTGAGCCCCAGGCTGAGGGTGCCCCTGTGGCACTTGCCTACCTCTCCCTGCTAGATGCCAATCACCAGCTCCCTCTGCCCTCTGGGTCTTTGCCCAGTGTGGCAGCACAGAGTGATCCCAGGGCAAGGACATGTCCCCCCTGGGGCAGCCCCCCAGGACCATCACTGCCTTCAGGAGGTGATGCTTCTTCCTTGTCCAGGTCTTCCTCAGCACCCGCCGGGGTGCATGGATCCTCAACCGCGTTGGAGATCAGGGCTACCCCATCGACACCATCTTAACCACTCGCATGAAGGTATTCCTGCAGGGGCTGCTCAGCCCGTCCCTGGCGTGTGACTACATGGAGAAGAAGCTGAACGCCAGGTTTGACCACACGCATTACGGCCTGAAGCCAAAGCACAGGTATCAGCAAACACTCCCCCTGCCCAGGAGGGACCCACCGTCTCCCTCTGTGTCCAGCCTTGCTTTACCATTCCATGCTCCCTATGTCTGGAAACCAGGTTAATAGCTGCGTTGTGCCCAAGCAATGCTCAAGGGAACCGCCCCTGCCCCTTCCAGGGACCCTTGGTGGCACCAGTGCAGGGGCAGCCGCTCAGCATCTCTGGGGGATCAGCCTTTTGAGAATGAGCATCCCTGGGGATGAGCATCCCCAGAGCAGGACACAGAACAGAGACACTCCCTCCCCAGTGCCCTAATGGCTCCTTGTACCTTCCAGGGTCCTTCACCAGCATCCAACCATCAACGATGACCTGCCCAACCGCATCATTTCAGGCAGGGTGCGGGTGAAGCCAAACATCCAGGAGTTCACAGAGACATCTGCCATCTTCGAGGATGGCACCAGGGAAGACATTGATGTCGTAGTTTTTGCCACAGGATACAGCTTCTCCTTCCCATTCCTTGAGGGCTTTGTGAAGGTGGTGGAGAACCAGATCCCCCTCTACAAATTCATGTTCCCCCCTGACCTGGAGAAGCCAACGCTGGCTTTCATCGGCTTCATCCAGCCCCTGGGTGCCATCATGCCCATCTCCGAGCTCCAGTGTCGCTGGGCCACTCGCGTCTTCAAGGGTAAGTGAGGCAGACCTGCCCCGTGGCTGCAGCCTGAGCCTGAAGCCCTGGAGCAGGGGCAGATGGTGCCAGCCCTGTCAGGGAGGCTGTGGCATCCTGGCTTGCAGCCCTCACGGTGAGATGGGCTCTTGCCTGACAGGCACAGAGACATCCATACCCTGTGTTCCATGGGCTGCTCCTTCCCATCCTGAGGAGCTCAGAAAAGCCTCAGGTGCCAGACCACTGGCCATGGTGGTGCCAGCAGGGGCACAGCACCCAGGCAAGGGCAGCACCAGAGTGGCCACCGTGGCCAGCAGGGTGCAGCCTCCCCATGCTGTGGCTCATCCTCCCTAGGTCTGAACGAGCTGCCCCCGCGGCGAGACATGGAGGCTGACATCAAACAGAAGAAAGAAGCGATGGCAAAGCGGTAAGATCCCCACAGGAACAGGGAAGGGCTGCTGTGGGCACAGCTGCCCGTGGGCACCCGTCCTGTCCCATGGCTGCATCCCGGCACATTTGTTCATGCCAACAGATGTCAGGGATATGATTGGCCACACTACCCCCAGCCCAGTAATCCTTCCCCATGGTGATCCATCCAATACTGCCTTGCGGGTGCGCAGGGCATCTGCCAGCTCTGCTGCCAGCACCTGCCCTTCCTCCCTGCCCACAGGTACGTGAAGAGCCAGCGGCACACCATCCAGGTGGATTACATCCCCTACATGGACGAGCTTGCCTGCCAGCTGGGGGTCAAGCCCAACCTGCTCACCCTCTTCCTCACGGACCCCAGGCTGGCTCTGGAGGTGGCCTTCGGTCCCTGCACGCCGTACCAGTACCGGCTGCGGGGCCCGGGTGCGTGGGCAGGTGCCAGGGAGGCCATCCTGACCCAGCAGCAGCGCATCATCAAGCCCCTGCAGACGCGGCACGTGGAGGAACGTCCCTCGGCCCTCGCTGTGCCCCTCATCTTCAAGGTGGTCGGAGCCGTGGCCATCCTCGCTGCTGTTTTTGCTTACTTTTAGGTGCCCTGCAAGCATGAGAGGGCACGGTTTGCAATGTGCCAAGGGGCTGGCCGGCCACTCCTGCCCCACAGCAGTCTGTGCACCCCAGTGCTGGCAGGAACCCCTGCCTAGCACGGCCCCATTGTGACCACACCATGAGCTTGGGATGCACAGAACCTCCCCGGCTGCCAAAATAAAGATTGGACCCCTGTGCTGTGCCTCTCCCTGTGGAGCTGCTGCCAGGGACAGAGAAAGAAACCTGCTCATATGCGGGGTAAAATCCAGTCCCTTTCAGCCAGCACTCTGGGCTTTTCTGTCCCCTGTAACCCAGCTGTGCCACCGCTGGCACACTCACAGGAAAGCTAAGCAGCAAAGGCACTGCACACTTCCTAACTGCATAAATGCATTGAACAGCCAAGCATTGTCCTGTTACTGACAGCATCATGACCCACTGTGTGCCAGGGGAATGCTCATGGGTGTGAGGTCGTCCTCGTGCCACTGGCCCACAGCAGTACACATGTACACACCTGTGTGTATCCACAGCAAGACAGCCTCGCTCAGGGTGTGCGACACAGGAGCAGGTCCCAGGGGTCACAGTAGCACAGTTCAGTGCCACCTTCATCACCTGCACGCAGCCCCTCCAGAAGATGGCTGGGTGGGATGGCCACCCAGAGTGGTGACAGGAGTCTTGGCCACCACACACCTGGGCTGGCATGACTGCCAACCACCTGAGCATCCTCCTAGTTTGTTTTCCATACCACAACCTGCTGAAATCTGGAGCACAGCCACATCTCTGCCCTGCCCACCGAGTCCCGGGGCAGTGCCAGCATCATCAAGTGCTTACAGAATCCAATGAGCCTCCTGTGGAGGGCAGGCACAGATAGGGGGAGTGGCAGAGTGGTGGGGGGAACCTGTAGATCGTGTCTAGAAGAAACACATCTTATGAAACCCTAGCTTCCCTTGGCCACCCACAGAAAGCACAGGGACACTCACTTCCAAACTGAGCGCCCTTCCTGGTGTAGCCCGCCAGGCTCTGCAACCCGCTCAGTGCCACAGCTTCTCCGGAATCCCTGCCAACACCGGAATGCGGGACATGGCTCCCCAGAGAGTAGCCATCATTGGTGCCGGTGCCTCTGGCCTGTGTGCCCTGAAATGCTGCCTGGATGAGGGGCTGGAGCCCACCTGCTTTGAGAGGAGCAAGGACATCGGGGGCCTCTGGCGCTTTGAGGTAAGCCCCACGCGTGCCAGCCTGCCCCGTGGCAGCAGAACGGATAGGATTGGGATCAGTTCTTGGCAGATAAAGCACCACTCCCCTGCTTTGTAAGCGTGTGCCAGGCAGGTTTACAAGCTAAACGACAGGAAAGTAAAACAGCTTGGCAGCAAAAGGTCCCCGTGGTGCCAGCCGGTGTGCTGGGCACATGGGACCCATCTCCTTCCCACCAGCAGCAGCACGGACCCTCTCCAAGGACCTCACCCCAGGGCTTACTCCCCCCAGCTCAGCTTTCCTCTTTCCCATCCTTCCCTTCCTGGTCTCATCCACCCCTTGCTCTGCTGATTTGCTCTTGGTCCCCTCCAGCCCTTTTCCACATATCCTTGTCCTATCTGACCCCATTGTCTGTCCCAGTTTCTGTCTTTTCCAGCCCTTCCCTGGAATCACTGTTGCTCCCCTCCCTGCTCCTGTGCTGCTCACCCACGCAAAGGCACCAAGTGCTGCTTCCTCTGTACCTCGGCTCTTCCTGTCTCAGGGGAAGCCTGGGAGCTTGTTTCTGCACCCACCTAATAAGGCTGCTGACATTTCCCCCATGGACCCACCAACAAGAATACCAGTGCTCCCACCATGCCCTGTTATGTGGGTGGGAGAGGCTGGGGGGACACACATGGGCACCACACCAGTGTGGGGTTGGGAGTGGCTCAGTCACAGCCTGCTGGTCCTGCCCATGATGGGTCAGGAATGGGACTGGTGCAGCGAAGCCAGGGAAGCAGCATCCGGCTGCTAAGGCACAGACCTGTCAAGCAGGAGCAGCCACTCAGCAGGAAGCACTGGAGCTGGCTCCACAACCAGTGAGACCTGATGTGGCAGCTGCAGCAGTGACACCGAAGGCAGCTTCGGGAATGCACCACCTCACAGGGGCAAGGAGTGGGAGTGGGGAAGCTGAGGCACGAGACCACCACGAGTACGCTGTCACTACTGCCTGGTTGTCACAAACCCAGAGCTTCCTCTTCCCTGTTTTTTGAGGCAGATGGTCTCCCTCATGGGAGAGTGCAGGGATGGGTGCTATGATCACCTGTGGCCTAATTCAGCATTCACAGGCATAGAGATGTGCCAGGCAGGGCAGGCAGGAGGCCCTGCAGTCCCTGGCCAGTGCTGAGCCGTGACCCACTCCTACAGGAGAACCCCGAGGACGGCCGTGCCAGCATCTACCGCTCCGTCATCATCAACACCTCCAAGGAGATGATGTGCTTCAGCGACTTCCCCATCCCCGAGGACTTCCCCAACTACATGCACAACTCCAAGATCATGGAGTACTTCCGCATGTACGCCCAGCACTTCGACCTGCTCCGCTACATCCGCTTCAGGGTGAGAGCTGGGGGGCCAAGGGGGTGGTGGCAGCGGGGCCAGGGGGCGCAGGGTGCCTGACGCCCACTCCCCCTGCACCCAGACCAGCGTGTGCCGCGTGTCCAAGCGCCCTGACTTTGCCACCACGGGCCAGTGGGAGGTGGTGACGGAGAGCGAGGGGAAGCAGGAGGCAGCTGTCTTCGACGCCGTGCTGGTGTGCAGCGGGCACCACACCGATGCACATCTCCCGCTGAACACCTTCCCAGGTACTGCCTCACGGGCTGCTCGCCTGGTCCTTGACACCCCTGGGACCACCCTCCTCTCCTGCTCAGCCTCCACCCTGCTCTGAGTGCTACCAAAAATGCCTCTGAAGTTTTAACACACCAGGTGGGATTGCATGAGCACCCAAAGCATCCTGCTGGCAGATGTCACAGCTGCCAGTGTGCCTCTCCCACCAGAGACAGGCTCCCTCTCCACACTGCTGGCCAAGCACATGCTGGGCTCTCCAGCTCCTCACCAAGCTTGAGAGCTCAGCACTCGTGTTGGCCTTCTCCTTTGGGAGACAGGCAAAAATGCCTGGAGGGCTTTCAGCTGTGGAGACCCTCTTTGGCTGGGGAACAGGCTGGAGGACACCATCACCAGAGTCTGGTGATATGGTACAAACCCCAGCCGCTCCTCTACCCTCACTGCATAGCACCAGACAGGAACTGCAGGAAGATTTTGGTATGGGAGCACAGAGGTATTCAGTCCAAGCCCTGCTCCAAGTCAGGCTAGCCTCAAAGCCAGAGCAGGATTCTCAGGGCCACATTGAGAATCTCCCAGGCTGGAGATGCCACCACCTTTCTGGGCACTACCCCAGCCTGTTCCCAAAATACACCACCAATCTGATCAGGGGGCAGCCACCCTCCTACCCCACATCCCAGCCCAGCATGGCTTCCCTCTCTCTTCCAGGGCTGGAAAAGTTTGAGGGCTCGTACCTGCACAGCCGGGACTACAAGAGCCCACAACCCTTTTCGGGAAAGCGGGTGGTCGTAGTTGGCACCGGGAATTCAGGCATCGATATCGCAGTGGAGCTGAGCCACACAGCCAAACAGGTCTGTTGGGAGAGCCAACAGGGATAGGGTGCTTATTATTCAGACCCTGGAGGGCACCGATCATCCCCCCCTACTCGCTGCAGGCTCCCCTCCCTCCAGCACCCGTCCACAAGCACCACATCCCCTCTCAGTGGAGGTGTCTACTGTGGTCCCAGCAGCTGTGCTGGCATCCCTGTCCTTGGAACACGGCAATGGTCCAGCCTGGTCTCAGGACACTGCCATGCTGCCACCTCTCTTCTCCTTTCTCCCAGGTTTTTCTCAGCACCAAGCGTGGGACCTGGGTGCTACACCGGGTGGCGGACAGAGGGTACCCCTTTGACTTCAGCTACCTCAACCGCTTCAGCCACCTCTGCACGAGCCTGCTGCCCCAAAACATCACCAATTTTTTCATGGAGAGGAAGCTGAATGCCCGCTTTGACCACAGACTCTATGGCCTAAAGCCCCAGCACAGGTGAGTGCCCTGGCAGGTACCTGGCCCGGGTACCTGTCCCAGCAATGCCCATCCTGCTGCCCGTCTCACTGCCCAGGCCCATACAAGGTCTGTCCGTGCCTTCCAGGATCTTTGACCAGCACCCGACCGTCAACGACGACCTGCCCAACCGCATCATTTCAGGCAGGGTGCGGGTGAAGCCGAACATCCAGGAGTTCACAGAGACGTCTGTGATCTTTGAGGACGGCACCAGGGAAGACATTGATGCCGTGGTCTTCGCCACAGGATACAGCTTCTCCTTCCCATTCCTCGAGGAGTGTGTGAAGGTGGTGCAGAACCAGGTCTCCCTCTACAAATTCGTGTTCCCCCCTGATCTAGAGAAGCCAACGCTGGCTTTCATCGGCCTCATTCAGCCCCTGGGTGCCATCATGCCCATCTCCGAGCTCCAGAGTCGCTGGGCCACGCAAGTCTTCAAGGGTAAATCAGGCAGTTTGGGGGGATGCAGCCAGGTTTCCCTAGCTACACCAAGACTGAGGTGTTCAGCTGGTGGCCTCCCCTCACATGCTGTCTCCCCACACTCACCTTTTAATCATCCTTTTGCTTCTTTATGAGGACAAAAAACAGCGTTGTATTTTGCAACAAGTCTTGCACTGATCATCTCTTGTGAGGAACGCTAACAGGTCCTGTTGCCTGCAAACTACCTTCTCCCTTTCCTTTCCTACCATTACTTTCTTTGCCCAAGCCTCCCACTTTGCTCTTGAGGTGGTGGCACTTCCCCAAAGCCCCAAAGGCTTCCATGTGCAAGCAGAGGCCTGGCTGAGCCATCCAGACGGTGGTGGGAGCACAGCCCTCCCTCCAGCTACAGCCTCCTCTTCCCCAGGGCTGCAGGACCTGCCGCCACTTGCCAACATGCTGGCTGAGATCACAGAGACCAAGGACCAAATGGCCAAGCGGTAAGGACCCTGCACAGCGTCACCTCTGCCACCCTTCCCCCCGTGCTCATGTGCCAAACCCGCCTCCCCTCCCTCCCTGCCCACAGGTACGTGAAGAGCCAGCGGCACACCATCCAGGTGGATTACATCCCCTACATGGACGAGCTTGCCTGCCAGCTGGGGGTCAAGCCCAACCTGCTCACCCTCTTCCTCACGGACCCCAGGCTGGCTCTGGAGGTGGCCTTCGGTCCCTGCACGCCGTACCAGTACCGGCTGCGGGGCCCGGGTGCGTGGGCGGGTGCCAGGGAGGCCATCCTGACCCAGCGGCAGCGTGTGGTCAGAGCCCTGCAGCCCCGAGGCAGGGCCCGCCCCAGCGCCCTGCCCCGCATCCTCAGGGTCCTCTTCAGCATCCTCGGCGTGATTGCGGCCATCCTCGTCTACGGCTCGCGCTCTCCTTAGCCTAAAACGAAGGAGGCAGCGGGTCCTCCCGGCAATCTTTTCCTTTGGGCTTGTGTCTGTTGCTCCTTGCTAGGTGTGCCGCCACGCCCGGAGGCACGGAGGGAGTCCTTCCTTGAAGGTGCAGCCGGGTCTGTCCCGCCTTCCTGCTGTGCCAGATACGCAACTCCTGGTCACGGGCTGCTCTGAGGACGGGGGTCACTTCCCTCCCCCAAATCCTGGCTCGGCAGCACCACAAGCTCTCTCTGTCTATGGGTTAGGTCACACTGAGGTGGTGGGGAAACTGGGAACGCGCCTCAGGAAAAGGACAATAAAGCTTGTCTCCGTGCCGAGGGGACCACGGGCCACACTGCTTGGCTGTCTCAGTCTGTGGGGCCTATCCTGAGGCGTCTGCCCAGCCCACGGGCAGCACCCTGCCCGTTCGCTGCCCGCAGCCCCCCAAACATCCCCGGCACCGCCCTGCCCTCAGCAGACATGGCCGCCGGCGGGGGTGAAGCCGTGCGACCCCCCGCGCGCCATTAACAACAACGGGCCGAGCCGCCCTCACCAAACATGGCGGGTGCCCGGCGGCGGGGCCGCGGGTCCGGGGCGGGGCGCGGCCGCGGAGCGGGGCGGGGGCGGGCCAGAGCGCCCCGCAGCGGCCGGCGGGGGGTGGCGCCATCTTGGACAGAGGCGGAGAGCGGGGCGGCGGCGGCGGCGGCAGGTGGGGTCGGGCCGGGCCGGGGCCGCGGGTGGCGGGGTGTCCCGGGTGGGTGGCGGTGAAGGTGGCGGCTGGCCGGGCGCCGCCGCGGCAGGCGGTGAGCGAGGCGTGGCCGCGCGGTGTGGCGGTGTGGCAGTGTCCCGGAGCCCGCACCGGTGCAGACCGCGGCTCGCAGCCCCTCGGGAGGGCCCCGTCCCTGCCGGTGCGTCCCGCTCCTCCCGTGGGCCACGGCAGAACCGCGGGTGGTTTGGGCGAGCCCGCCGTGGCTGCCCCCGCCCCAGCCCTGACTGCTCGGAGGGAGATTTTCCTCCCCCGCTTTCCCAGCTCATCCCCTTAACCTTACGACAACCTCAGGAGGAGGGAGAGCCCGGGCGGATCGGGCTTCCCCGGGCCACGCCAGCCCCGGGAGGTGCCATCCCGGCGGGATGCTGGGCAGAGACCTCCGTCCCTGTGCACAGACCCCTCGGGTGCCGGACAGTGCTTCCCAGCGCGGGGCACTGCCCGGGTGGGAGAGGCAGCGAGCGCGACAGATCCCGGGGGGAATTGGTGTATTTCACTTGTCATTTTCAGAGTGGGGAGGTGGGGCTGGCTGGAGCCGAAGGGGCCTTGCCATGGGGCAGGCAGGCACACACCTCGCTGCGGCTGCGGCTGGTGGGGGCTCGCTGCCAGACTGGGAGCCGATGCGCCGAGACGCCGCGGAGCTTTGCTTGGGCTCTGGTGTGGGCAGCGCTTCCATCTGTGACTCGGACGTACCTGTGTCACACCATCACAGCGTGCCGTGCTACAAGGTCTGGATGCAGCTACAAGGAGGGTTTGAGCTGTAGAAGTTAATTCAGCAAAGCCAGGTACCACAGGCTGCTGTCCCAGCACAAGCAAGGGTGCCTGTGTGTTCGATGCAGGGGATTCGGATGGCACACACCAGAAAGGAGCCACCGGTTGGGATAAACTCGGGAGGTGTTTAGAGAGCGTGACCTGTAAGGGACAGAAGGACTGGATTTCTTTTAGAGAAGAGAAACGGAAGTTTCACATCTATTAACACCTGCATGTATCTCTCAGGTCTGTCCTGGTACAAGAGGATGTTCAGCCTTTCCTGCCTTCCTCCCTGTAGATAAGAAGTAAGGGATCCTTAGTGGAGGTACTGGGGAGGAAACTCCTCAACAACAGGTTAGTGGCACAGGGGCAGTTTTTGTGAGGAGCTGGCTGAGCCTCCTCAGAGCAGAGGGGGAAGATGTCAGAGCAAGAGGTGCAGCTCACCTGACCTGGATCATCAGATACACTTGATCTGCACTGAGAAGGGTGGAGATATGGGTTAGCTACCCTCTTGAGCTGCCTTTTAGCCCTCAGGATTTAAGAAATACTTTAGTAATTGCTTCATAATATTCTAAAGCCTGGCTTTGGCTGGCAGCCTTGCCTGGCACCCTTCATATAACTTGATCTTCTAAACAAACCTCCAAATGTCACAAGTGAGCACATGAAGTAAGGCTGGCTGTGCCCTTGCCTTGCTCCACAGAGGCCACGGTAAGCTGAAAGCTGCAAAATAAGCCTGAGAAGCAGGCAAGAGCCCCAATCCATCTTAGCTCCTGAGAGCTGGGTAAGGCCTGAAGAATCCTGTGTAGCTTGCGGTGGCTTTGTTGTTTGTCCCAAGAGATGTGTGGTTGTTTGTGGCTTGGTCAGTTGTCCTGTTTTGCTTTCTCTGATCTGGGTGAGACTGGGGATGGCAGCTCATCTCCAGCTGCAGAGGGATGCTGAGGTGGTTGGGGCTGCCCTTCCCTCATTGTGTGCCTCCAGAGAGCCCAGCAGATGCCAGAGTGCTCGGGGTGGTGCCACTGGTTCAGTCACAACAAGCGGACCTCCTGGCTGTGCTGTGCTGCAGCTGACACGGTGGCTTGCCTGGTGAATCATAAGTAAATGCTGCTGAGAGCTGAGCTTTTTACAGACAGCGCAGCATTAGCCCCACTCCTTGGACAAGCTCCAGCTTGGGCGATTCCACTCGGACACTTTAAATGCTCTCTGTCATCTTTGCCAGGCGCAAGACTCTGCTCTTCTGCCTGTGAGCTCTTGGAGACTTGTTGGGAGCTGTAAAACAGCTGCTACTTTCACTCTCTGTTTGTTTTCTGGCTGGATGTAGGGGATTTGTCTGTAGAGCCTGACTGTGGGACTGTGAAAGAGGCTCTGTTAACGCTAAGCAATGATTTGCCAATAAAGGTTGGCTTTATTTTTCCCATCAACCCCTCAATTCTGATGGCTGCCGAGGGCTGATGTTGGACACAGGTGAACTAATATTGGTTTTGGAGTCTTAACAATTACCAGCTTAACTACAGTGATGGTTCTTAAGGATACAGCTATAATTAAGTTGAACTATCTTGTTTATTGAGCATTCAGCTTCCAACCTTGGTCGTGAGAATGAACTTTGGGCCTCTTTTAGGATTACTGTCCATCTCCTCTGGCAAAGAGCATTGGGAAACGGCGCCTTTGCTCCTCTCCTCGCTGCCATTGCCCATGTGCACAGGTACAGTGTTGTTCTCTCTCCCTCACAGAGGCTGCTGAGCTGTCATGGGGAACACCACCAGCGAGCGAGTGTCCGGGGAGCGCCATGGCTCCAAGTCCCACCGCTCGGACGGCTCCGGTGCCTCCCACCCCACCAAGGAGCACCCGCACAAGATCATGGTGGGCAGCACTGATGACCCCAGCGTTTTCAGCTCCCATGACTCCAAGGTAGGGGCTGGCCGCTCCCTTCCCTGCCTCCGCTCTACAGCTTCAGCTCACTGGCTCTGGGGGGCTGTGCTCCCAGCCTTGAGAGGGGTTTGTGGGGAGCTGGGAGGCTGGAGGAGCTCTGCAGTGCTCCTGTCTGGGATGTGAAGGTGTGGTGGTAGAGGCTAGGGGAAAGTGAATGTGTTCGTGGTTGTCTTCATGTCTTAGGCTCTGGTTTTCTTTGCTCAGATGCCTGGGGACAAGGAGTTTGTGTCGTGGCAGCCAGATCTAGAGGAGTCAGTGAAACCATCCCAACAGGCTCGACCAACTGTCATCCGCTGGGCCGATGGAGGCAAAGAGGTCTTCATCTCTGGATCCTTCAACAACTGGAGCACTAAGATCCCACTCATCAAGAGGTAGCCAGTCCTTCAGGTCGCTCTATGTTCTCCTCTGTTCCATTGCAAGGAATGTTTTTTCCCTTCTCTGTGCTGGTCGCTGTTCCCTTTGCTCGCCTGGCTTTTCCTGTTCATCCAAGCTGGGAGTCTGAGCACAGATACATAGTCAGCTCCTTCCCTGATGGTCCTGCAGGGACTGTGGTAAGTTGTGAAACAGAGGGACAGGACAGGATAGGCCACTGTGCTTGCCCAGCTATATGGCATGCAGGAGCCAGTCCTGGCAGCAGAGCCCTGCCCAAGTATGCAGCAGCCCTCTGGAAGCTGCCAGCTCTTCCCTTGGCTGTGGCTTTACCCCATGCCTATTTGTATTGCTGTCAGTGGGGGTTGGTTGGTTGTCCTTCGCACGTCTTGCTGTTCTGCAGCACGTCTGTGATTTACATGAAAGCTTTGTGTAGGACTCTTAGTAATTCTTCTGGAATTGCAGACTTCACAAACACAGCTGCCTCACTTGCTCCCATCCTGCCATGCCAGCACAGGGCCAGGAGCTTTGCCCATGCATCCTCTCCAGTGTTTTTTGCACAGGGTGTCTGTCACGTCCACTTTCTCTGGGCTTGGAGGGCTGGACTGCCTCCTGCTCTCCTTGCAGCTGGGCTCCCAGGGCTTTGAGCCATGCTAGTGCTTGGAATGCTTGTGCCTGTTGTGGCCATGCCTCAGGTCACTGATGATGAGCAAGCCTAACCCTACATGAAGGTGTTGGGGTAGAGGGGCTGGGCAGTGCTGATTCCTGGGGCCCCATGGAAGTGCAGCTTCCAGAGCATCAACAGGGTGATGTTGTTGCACATCTTTTCTTTCTGCACAGCCACAATGACTTCGTTGCTATCCTGGATCTCCCAGAAGGAGAGCACCAGTACAAATTTTTTGTGGATGGCCAGTGGGTCCATGACCCATCTGAGGTAATGGTCAATGCTTTATCCCTGCAAATCTTGTCTTCAGGGAACTAGACAGGATGTAACTGCAACAGAGAGGGAACAGGAAGAAAAGGAGGTCGTCTGCCAAAACAAAAGGGGCACCTCCCTCCCCTGAGTCCTTTCAGAGGCTGGTTCCTCTGGACTTAGTCATGCTTTATGGGGAAGTATTGGGGAGGGGCAGGGAAATGCCAGAAGGCCTTTAAATCCCATTGAGAATTTGTCTACAGGGGAAGATGGGCCATGGGGTCATCACTCACTTGCAGGTTCTCCAAACTGGATCATGCGGTAGCAGCATGGGAAGGAGAACACACCCATGTAACAGGATGGAGGATGAAAATAGGAGGTGATGTAGGAGCCTAGGAGCAAAGGGAAATCCTCCCAGGATAAACAAGCATAGAGCAGAGATAGACACCAGCCACCTGTGCTCTGTGGTAGTGGTACAGCAAAGACAGCTTGGGCTGGGAGGATCTGGGAAGCATTGAGTGTGCTTCATTTGGAGGTGAACACAGGAAGATTCTTACCTCAGTTCTCTCCAGCCCGTGGTCACCAGCCAGATGGGGACGATTAACAACCTAATCCACGTCAAGAAGTCTGACTTCGAGGTGTTCGATGCATTGAAGGTGGATTCCCTGGAGAGCTCAGAAACCTCAGGTCGGGGTGAGTTTTGTGGCATTACAGCTTTGCATGTGCTATTTTCCACCTCCTCTGCTTTGAGACTCACTGCTCTGGGGTGAACAGACCCCCTGAGCGGAGGTGTGGGCCTGCACTCAGTATGAGTAGTGTTTGG